AGAATGACGAAGACCGCCAAGCAGCACTGAATGGAGATACCATCTTCTTGGATCGCAAGAGGCTAATTTGGACAGATCTGACTAGTAGACTTTGCTTTATATGTTCAGTATTAGGACATCGGTCAGATAACTGTTGGAAAGCAAGACAAACAACCAAAGATAGACAAATGCAAAATCTCTATCAAAGATATCAACTGGCACAATTCAAGAACTATACTGCGCCTAACAAACCCGTTTCAAAGTCGATCACGTTCACTCACATGACTAATAACGGAAAGGGAAAAGTACCAGAGACCTCCCAACCAAAACCAAAAAAGATTTTGCCACGTCCTCCTATCAATAATAGTAGACCAAATGGGGAAAATTCTCTCAACGCAAGCATTCATGCAACAAACGATTAGGCAGATGAATCAGAATACCTCCACCCAAATTCTAAAGGTTGCGCCAAACCTATTAACGATATCAATGATCACGAACAACCTGATAGAATGGACCTTCTAATGACTAAACTAGACGCAGTCTCAACACAATTAGGTCGTCTTCATAAAGATCTACAATTCACCAATAAAAGAGTTTCTACTATGGAATCCCTTCTTAAAATATATTTGACTTCTCCAAAACAAGCTGCCATCATCAATGCTTAACCTACGGGCAAAAATATGGAAGAAGAAGAATACATTGTATGACCTGGTATAGATATATCTGAATCTGTAATTACTACTCAAAAAATCGATATTAAAACCCTCCAAGATGAAAATCTACACCTTAAATGCAACCTGCAAGCAAATGTCGATAAACTGAATGAGGCCTTTAAAGTGGTCAATGCAGGACAACTACATGACAGTCGTCGTATTCCGGTCGCCATGTTAGAAAAACCTAAAGATTTTTATGATGTAGAAGAGGAATCTCCATCCCAACAATCCCAATTTTAATTATGAATAATACAATAATTGATCCTTTTAACATAGTACCTAATCGACCAAACTCTTTACATACCCTTAACATCATCACTCACAACGTTCTCTCATTTAAAGACACTGTCAAACAACAATTATTAATGAATCTATATGAACAATACAATGCTAATATTATTGCATTACAAGATATCAAACTAACATATTCAACAGTTCGCGCCTTCAAACTCACCTTAGACAAAACTTATACTATCTTAACAAATACCCAATTAGATCCTAACGAACATAACACTGGAGTCGCATTAATATTTAAAAAATATATAGCTGATCACATCTTTAACCACGGTGGTTTTTGGGGAAGGATCATTTATGCAGACATTCAACTTCAAAATAAATATCGTATTCGTATTATCAATTCGTATATTACCCCTCAGACAATATTTTTCAAAAAAATTATATTCAAAATTATCCTTTCTTTTTAGTCAAGCAGCTGAGCTCTCTATGCCGGTGATCTTCATTGGCGATCTTAACGCTAAACCTAGAAGGCACATCAATCCTAAACATTCTAATCAATTTTTTTGAAACCTGGCAAATTATATCCTATTCAATATTGGAGATATCTGCTATGATGATGCTAACACAAGACTCCCTACCTTCCATAGAAATGGCTGCAACCCAAGTAG